TTTGCAAGTTGGGTTGGGCGACGACCTAATTTAGAAGATTAGTTTAAACAAGTCTAAGCTAGCTAAATTACTCGTTGATTCAAAATTTGAATAGCTCGCCAGCTGGGTTAGGCGAGGACCTAATTTAAATTTTAGTTTGAACAACTTTAAGCTGGCTAAATTACTTTTTGATTTTACCTTTGAATAGCTAGCAAGCTGGGCTAGGCACATGACCAAATATAAAATTTAAATTTGAACATCTCTAAGATGGATAAATTACTTGTCGATTTGCAAGTTGGGTTGGGTGTGGACCTATTTTAAAATTTTTGTTTGACCAGCTCTGAGCTGGCTAAATTCCTCGTTGATTCAAACTTTGAACAACTCACAAGATGGGTCTGGGGAGGAGGATATGCTATGCGTGAAGTAACATTTACTTGAACTATCAGTTAAATAACAAGTTGATAACTTGAGCGAATTAAGGAAGTGCTCCACGTCATCCTGGCGATAGGTCTCCATGAAAATAGACCCCATCGAGGAAAGAAAAAATGCTCTCACATTGTCTTTGTGAGTTGCCTTTTCATGCTCAAGCAACTCGGCCTGATGAAGGTCGTCTTGTTTTGCTACATGGTGGCTATGTGTCCTGTAGTCGTTGATTTGCTTATCCAGCTTCTTCTTCAAGAAATCTCCCTCCTCCTCGAGCTGGGAAATCCTCTCTTTTTCAGCCTCGACCTTCTCATTATCTGCCTCTAATTCTATATTCCTTCTCTGAAGAACGAAAACATTGGCCTTCTATACATTTAGTTGTTCTTCCTACTTCTCGAGCTATTGGTCCTTCTTCTCAAGTTGCTTGCGCATTGAGGAAAGATTAGCCTCAGGATTAGCTTTCCCTTCTCCCAAAATGGAACAAACGGTCGACAAGAACTGAAAAGAACAAAGTTCTTAATGAATAACTACTGACGACCTAAAAGGAGAACAACGGGCAGTATCTATACCTTTGCCAAATGTCGGCTAACATAGAGGTTGCCCTCGTATTCAAGAACCTTGAACCGTCCTTCTCTGGTAAAATAGATCGGAGATAGATTGCGATCAAAGCTCCGTCCACGTTCATCACAAACTTAGAAGGTTGCTCGAGGGTAATGGTTTTGAAATCAGAGCTCTCCACGGGATCATTAGAGATCTTGACCTGAGCAGCCTCAATTGGATTGGACTCAACTTGGGTAGGCTTAGCCCGCTTTTAGGTGAGGTAGAGAAGAGCTTTGCCTTCTTTTTCGATGATTCAGAGTCCCTCTCTTTCAAGCTCGAAGAGCCCCCGAGGATGAGTTGGGTCACATGAGGATTGGGAGGTTGCACATGAGTGTTGGATGAACCCCCAGCGGTGGAGCCCTTGACCTGGGAGGTGTGCATTGGGGATGAAGGGTCCTTCACCTTAGAAGTAGGAGTGATCTACGCCTTCTGGTCCTTTTTGGGAACTTGAAAGCATTTGAAGTATGGTTCTGCAATAATAAATAAACAAAAAGGTTAAAACGACCTAAATAGAGTTTCAAAAAAACGAAATGAATAACAAAAACCTACTCAGGTCGTGGACAAAAGAGAGTACTAATATCCTTGGATGAACCACACTAGTACAATAAGGAGGGGTCCTCATTGTCCTGCGAGCACTCTAGGGAGTCTCGTTCAAGGTCACTATTATCTTGGCAAGTCGAGGGTTGAACCTCAGCTTTTACTTCTGATCAGGTCGATCAACAAGCCAAGAGTTGGTGAAATAATAAAAGTTGAGACTAGGACAGATTTAAAAAGAATTCAGTTTTCTATGACGTGACATTAGACGATAGGTCATCTAGAAACCTGGCACCATTGCCACCTACCAAATAATGGGTGGCGTTTTGGAATTTCAAGTCAATGCAATAATAGAATAGCTCATGGAGGAATTCATCGAGCTGTATCGTTTAGGTTATTACAAAAGTAACCATTATTCGAATTGAATTGGGTAAAAACTAATTGATAGGAATGCCGTATAATTTGGTAAGGGTTATTAGCTTGGGGTTGGACGGGAAAGCAGAGACCAAAAAAGACTTGGTTTACAAAGAATGTGTAATGATTCTGAGTAGGTTGCGAGTAGACCTCAGCAACTCATGGAGCTCACAAATCCCAGTTTCTTGGGAGCTCGTTGTAACGCCCCGTTGTTTTTAGAAGAAAAATACCAATTTATTCCAAATATCAGAGTTAAATTTTTGACATTTTACAATTTAAAATTGATTAACGGGCATTACTCAATCCAAACTCAAAATATTAGCTTAAGTACCAACTCAAGGCATTGGGAATAAACCATCCCAAATCAACACTTAACCACACTTTCAAACCAGACATAACATGGCATGCTCATCAATAAGTCTCGAAAACAATATCATAATGAATGTTTCAAAACCAGTAATTTAAGTCATGCATATTAATTAAATTCATAATCGAAACATATTCTCCAAAACAATCATATAAGTCTGGCGAAATGATAACAGTAAGCGGAAGCATAAAAGCAGTTCATAATAACAGATATTAATGACTTAAAATAGTGAGGGTGAGCAAACAATGAGGGTGAGCAAACAACAAGCTCAACCTGAAAAGGGGAAAAATAATGGGGGTGAGCAAACAACAAGCTCACGGTGGGAATACCATGCAGTATATTCAATATAATGACTTAAAATCATAATCGCAACATGGACACAAATCACTAAGTCTACCTCCTATACAACCCTACTATCTCATGTGTACACACAGCTCCTAACGGCGTAACCCCTAGTCGGGAACTAACCACTGGCATAACCCATCAGTGAGAGCAGTACTCAAAGGCACAATAATAGGAAGCCGTCGGCAAGACCCATTGACTGGTGAAACATGCATAGACCAGTGGTTCACATGCATACATTGATTATCAAGTCAAGCAATTATAAAGGATAACGACATGGTAAATTTTATCAACACCCACTTGATCAGTAGACATGAAGGTAAATAGCATACAAGCTCGGATAGGTCGGTGAGGCTCAACTTCCTCAGGAACCTACATTTCAAATCAAGATAATATCTCAAAATACTTATCTTGATAACTCAGAATTTCATCAAAAATTTCTACTTAATAAAAAATTTATCGATTAAGAAGTTTGTGGAATTTGTGGAATTTGAAACTCTCAGTTTTTATGGAAAAACTTGGAAAAATAATTTAAAACACAAGGGCTAAAATGGGTTCGACACGAAAAATGAGGTCAACAGTTCAAAAATCGGTCAAACGGCTCGAGAAAATGGATTTCGAGGTCACAACATCGGCACGGGCATGGGCAGGTCATGGGTTGGCCGCTAGTGGCTCGTCGTGGGCAAGTGAGGGCGGCTGGGGCTCTCCTGGGTGCTGGTTGGCTGCTGTTGGCCGCTAGTGGCTCGCCGGGAATGCTGGGTGTGCTGCTGGGCACAGTTGGGCTCGCGGGAGCTGAGGTGCGGACGTCTGGCTGCTGGGCATCACAATTGGGATCAGTTTAAGGGGTTCGGGATCGAGTCTTTTCACGAAATTTCGACAGGTTTCAGAGTACCAACAGAGGGTTCAACACATGAAATTTCGAGGTCTAATTCAACTCCAACTAATTTATAAACAATTTTTAATAAAAGACATCAATAGCCTTCAATTTATCTCAAGACATCTCCAATTAATCAAGGCATCATCAAGGAATAAAAACTCAGTCTAGGGTATCAAATAAGTTCCAGATCTCCACAAGATTCTACAAGAACATGTTGACGATCGAAATCGATCAACGGTTAATAAAAGATAATGAAGTGATAAAATGAGTAAAGGGATCAAAATTTACGAAATAGATATTCTTTAAAACTCAAATTGAGCAATCCTTGTACCAATGGAATAGAGCAATCCATGTTGACTTTATAAAAGAATTTACTCAAACTAAATTAATTCATACTCAAAATCTAACTAAACATTAACTAAACCCCACTATCTTCAATATTATCAATATAATTAAATAATAACAATCAATAATTAAATAATAACAACCAATCATTTTTACACATCATATCAACTTTAATTTACTATTCATCAACTAACATAAATTATTTTATTCTAAATATTATTTTAATACACTCTCAAAATTCCACTAACAACTAATTATATTACTTTTTTTAAATTAATTATAGTTTAAAAAAAAACTCACTTCAAATTAATTTGATTGAATTTATTATTTTACAAACACACCTAAAGAATTTCATGCTTGTTTTATTGGACCACACGAGAATGGTATTGATCCCTTCCTGTGGTATGCCCCATATGGCTTATATACTTTGAAAATGATATGAAAACAATGATTATAAATGCGTCATATTTAATGGCAAGAGTATTTTATTAAGAAAATATTATGGGAAAAGGGAGTTGACTATGGAATATGATTAAACAAGGGGAGGGGGCAAAGATTAATTTGTTGTTCAAAGGCCTCCCCCAGATTCCACCAGTTAATAAGTATTAATAACCGGGTGAATAATAATTTACCGATTTAGATGTCCAAAATCCTATTATTTTTTGTAACATGTGGCACGTATGATGACCACAGCCCCACGTTCCAACATTGTAACTAGAACAGGTGATATTTCAAACGATGATGCAAGTGATTTTTTTTTTTTTTAATAAAAAAGTCGAGGCATAGAAAAGGAGTAAAATCGACCCGTTTTTGATTGACCAGAGGCATAGAATAGAATAGTAAACTCGCCCCGTTTTGTTTGACCAGGCACTCCAACAACGAAATGCCCCAAGGGAAAATTCAAACAACGCCCAGTCCCCCACACGCGTCAATTATCTCTTCTCTAAAATTTTTGTATGCATATAAATAGCGTGTTTGTCCTCATCATCTCTATAATATCCATAACATAAACAATCAATCTCTCTAAACAATCAATCTCTCTCTCTCGAAGTCTTTTCCACTCAGCAATCAGTTAATTGCTTTGCTTGTTCACCTTCAACACCACCTCTATTGAAAAAAATGAAGGGTTCCTTGTTTTCCAGCAGATCTCCTTCTCCATCTCATCCTTTGCACACCCACAAACACGCCTCCCCTTCTTCCACGCCGCCACACCACCGCCACACCTTCTCCGAAACTATGACGGAGGAGAGCCTCGACGATGCCGAGTCCATCGTCAGAAATTGGGATTTGGATGCCCACAAAAACGCAAAATTCTCACCTCTGTTCGCTGCCAACGGCGACAGAAGAGAGGCGCACAGATTTGTGGAGGCGGTGGCCAGTTTGCAGGCCGCTATGCACTATTACGTTAAGATCCACTCCGGCCCGGAAAACCTCGTCCGGGCTCAGAACCTCATGAGGATCGCTATCAAGAGACTCGAGAAGGAGTTCTATGTAATTTTATCCTCTAATCGGAAAAATCTCGACTCCGAGTCGGTTTCTAGCCGCTCCTCTAGGGGTTCGGTCAGATCCAGCGTTTCCGATTATTATGAAGATGAAATTTCAGAAGAGGAGAGAAGCACGACGCCGCCCCGTACGCCGCCTCGGACTCCACCTCCTGTATCTGAAGCCGAGAAAGCTTCGGATATGGCCATGGTGGATCTGAAGACCATCGCCGACTGTATGATTGCAGCAGGATACGGGAAGGAGTGCGTCCGCGTTTACAAACTCATCAGGAAATCGATTGTCGACGAGACTCTCTACAGTTTGGGAGTCGAGAAGCTGACCCACTCTAAGATGCAGAAAATGGATTGGAACGTTCTGGAAGCCAAAATCAAGGCGTGGCTTCACACGGTCACCGTGGCCGTGAAAACTCTCTTCCACGGGGAGAGGATTCTGTGCGACGTCGTTTTCTCCTCTTCGGAGAGGATCGCGGAGTCGTGTTTCACCGATATCTCGCGGGACGCCGCCGTGAATTTGTTCAGCTTCCCCGAGAATTTCGGGAAGAGCAGGAAGATCCTCTCGCCGGAGAAGATGTTCCGCGCGCTCGACATGTATGAGGCGATCTCCGAGCTCTGGCCGGAGATCGAGTCGGTGTTCTCGCACGAGTCCCTGTCGGCAGTGAGATCGGAGGCGATGGCGGCTCAGGGGAAGCTCGCCGAGGCTGTGAGGGTTATGCTCGCCCAGTTCGAGGCGGCCATTCAGAAGGACTCCTCAAAGACGCCGTCCGGCGGCGGGGTCCACCCGCTCACGCGCTACGTGATGAACTTCCTCGTCTTCATCGCGGACTACAGCGGCGCGGTCACAGACATAGTGGCGGAATCGCCGCCCGACGCTCGCAGCCCGCTGCCGGCGTCTTACTTCACCAGCCCCACCGCGGGAGGCGGCGAGGACCCGTCTGCGGAGGCCATCACCACGCGATTGGCGTGGCTGATTCTCGTCCTCTTGTGCAAGCTGGACGCCAAGGCGGTGCTGTACAACGACGTGGCCCTCTCCTACTTGTTTCTGGCGAACAACTTAAACTACGTCGTTTTGAAGGTCCGGAATTCCAATCTGGGGATCCTGATGGGGCTGGACTGGATCTGGAACAACCGGTCGAAGGTGAACCGGTACTTTGCCAACTACGAGAGGATGGGGTGGAGTGATGTGATCTCCTCGCTGCCGGAGGATCCAACGGCGGAGATTGCTCCGGAGGAAGTGGGTAACCGCTTCAGAAAATTCAATCAGGGGTTCGAGGAGGCATACAAGAAGCAGGCGGCGTGGGTCATACCCGACCCGAAAGCAAGGGACGAGGTGAAAATATCTTTATCCAAAAAGATCATCCTACCTTATCGGGCCTTTTACCAGAAGCATCGGGGCGACTACAGTAGGGGAGTTGGGGGGGAGTCAATTGTCAGGTATGCCCCTGAGGATTTGGATAATTACTTGTCGGACTTGTTTTTTGCGACTGCTTCTGGAGGCAGCACTACGACGTCGTATGGCACACATCACGGCACATCGCGCGGTCGTTCTCCCTCCACTTGAAAATCATGTGCCGTTGGGTTGGAAGTTATTATTTTGCGGATATGCGAGTTGTATAGAAAACGACTACTTGGGAGGGACCCTTGTATTACATATCCACACGTTCAATTTGGTCTGCTTTGCTTGTGATGAAAATACCTTCAATTATTGATTTGAACTTTATCCAAATTGGACTACTTGTGAATTGTGATGAAAATTCATTTAAATATTGCTTTGAATTTCTCCACCGGTGACATTGACTGTTATCCTTCACAATGGTTTAGTTAAATTTTATTTAATCTCACTAAAATCTTCCCTTAAACGACAATATGTGGCAATTTGTTAAATCACCAAAATACTCATTTCATCTGTTTTTTTGTTAGGGCATCCACGACCCTATCATTCCTTTAACACTCTCACATCTACATCATCTTCACATCATTTTTTTTACTCTACATGTCTCTATTTAAACACACACTCACATTCCTATCAATATACATATATTAGAGATTGTGGGCCCAGATAAATAATACTACCTCCTTTTTTCTTTAGATGTCATTTTTACTTTATCAACAATTAACCAAATAAATGACGTTTTAGATTTTTTATATATAATTTTCTATTATTACCCTCATCTAGCTAATAAATACACTACATCTTTTTATATTCGTTTTTTATTTTCTTTTTCAAAACATTCATCTCTATCCTCATTATGAGGGTTACTATTGGAAAAAAAAATATTCTTAATTATTGTGCAACTTCTCAAAACGACACTTATTAAAAAAATGAGAGAGTATATAATTATATAGGTCCCACCACTTTATGTGTTATGAATGCTTGTGGGGGAATTGGACATTTATTTCTCATGTTTTATGCTCCACACTGCCGTTAACATGATTGAACGAAATTAGTGGGGCCTACAATTTTTGTCTATTAAATGAACGCTCACATTGGTTTAAATGATGGAAAGACTCATTTAAACGGCGTATTAACGCAGCAATGCAGATGGTCTTAGTAGAAAATTTTATTACAATATCCAATTTTTTGGTTTGTATCATTTTGAGATATGAATTTTATTTTTTTATTTACATTTTAGGTTATTTTTAATTTAAGAGTCACTTTTTTATTTAACTTCTTGATATAAGGTTCAATTCACTTTATTTTTAACATAAATATATAAATCATAATATTATTTTCTATATTCTATATTTTACATCTTGATAACGAATATTAATTATATTTAACAGGTAATGAAATATTATCTTATTAGAATCTTTTTAGTTGTTTTATTCATGATATATATTCATGAAGAAATTAATATATATAGGTTTTATTCATGATATAAATTAATAAATTTTATTTTAAATAAATTGATAAGAGAATTTAAAATGTATAATTTAAATATTAATTTAACTAATATTCTAAATGTGTAATAAAAATAATAAATAAATAAAATATGTAATAAAAATAGAAAATAAAAAAGTGAAGTTATAAAAAAAATTGTACTTAAATACTATTGTTGACGGTCGACCGCCAACGGTTATGAATGATATTATTTGAGCGATAAAATTGTGGGTTACAACGTGATTTCTGATGTAATTAAAGGCAGGAAATTGGAGAGAATATAAACGGAATCACACAAAATAAGAAAACAAATATACGGTAAATAAACGAGACACCAATATTGCCGATCTGCTGAGGAGATCAACAATGAGAAGGTTTTATCCGAAAGCTTTATTGAAAAAGTGTGTATTACAGGCTTACAACGGAAGTATGTATAAAACGACGATTACATATGATTGAATGGATTGATTGTTTCTGGTAGGTGATGATTTTTACCACTCCTTACTATGATGAATCCCTGTCTCCGAAGGGGGCGAATTTATACACGAAAAAGTAAAGACAAATAAATGCTTTGTGCTACCTAAAGGCGTAGGGTGACGCCGTGTGTATTCATACAAGAACTCTTCTTGTTTAGAATAGGACAGATGGGCCAGTGGCATTTATCAGGTTTATCTATGGTGCCCCGTTCAAATAATAAGAGCCGTTTATTTTTGTGTTTGCATTTTATATTGCTTGTTTTGTTAGCTCGGCTGAAATTCTTTTAAGTTTAATGAGATTATTTGGATGCCCTTATCTATTTAATCCTCTAAGTTAAATAATTTATGTAGATGTCCTCGTCTACTTAAATTATTCTAAGTTTTGGCAATTCTTTTCCTAAGCCTCTTTGCATGCTGTAGATAGGTACTTGTTCTTCCAATTTGTCAGTGTTGTAATAATTTTTACCGGAGTAGAATCGAAAGATTCGAACACCGGGTCGTATCTCAAGGAAGGTCAGCCGGATTACTTTGTACGAATATTCAATCACAAAAAAAAAAAAGAAATTAAATCCTAAACACTCTAATCAGATTGATTTGGTTCAATTTTTCTACAACGAATTATAAAGATAATCCTAACTATTCAAATCTCACAACTCCGAGCACAAATTCAAGTAGTAATAAAGAGGCTAGGGTATCGGGGATAATCGCTTCCGGTTCTCAAAACATTTAATGGGCAATCAATTACTCGGCCGAAGGACTCGAAAAACTAACAATTTAGAGATTCATTCTCAATATCTCACGAAACAAGAGAATAAATATAAACGAGCAATTATCGAACCAATCAGCAGATAGACAATACGTCACCGAACAAGCCTATTCTAAATGAGCCTAGATCGATCGATTTCTCCCCTTTCGGTTTTGAAATCAATTAATTAGATTGAGATGGTGATCAAGCATCTAAACCCTAGGTTAAGCACAACTCGAAAAGATTGAGTAATTATCAAACATGTAAACGAGATCGAACCGGAACGACAATCCCCTAACCCTAGCTAGGAAATTTTGCTACTCATAGTGATTCCAACACAAACATTCATATCAAACAAAGCCATAACATCACCAATGAAATGAAAAAGCAAGCTTACGATAAATACGAATCCAATGTTGAAAGAAACACGAGCAATCCAAATCCAAAAGCTTAATCTTGGTGTTTTCACAATCCAAGATCAAATCCTAATCAAACTAAGAGAAAAATCTGTTCTCGAGTGAAAAATAATGCCAAAGGTTCAAAACCTAGGTGAAAAGACAATGAAAAACTGAACAAAATCGCAAAATATAAAACTGCCCGTCGCGACCCCCGCGGCCGCGGCGAAGAAAATCTCGCGGCCGCGACTATCTCCGAGGCCGCGAGCTCGACGGGCCAGAAAATCGAATTTTTTGGACATCTCGCGGCCGCGACTTCTCCTCTTCCACGGCCGCGGCGAACGTTTTCTGCACGGCAAATTTTCGGGTTCGTGTTCTCGCATCCGGATTCGGAATTTAATCCCGTCTTCTCCAATACGACCCCAACTCATCCATCTAGACGATAAACCTCGCATGGCCATGCACCGAGCCACCAAACCTGCACATCACCACCGACAAGAAACACGGAAAACCGGGAAAAACGAACAGAAAGACCAACAAACGACTAAAACAAAGAAAATGCACGAAACGACTCAAAACGGACCAAAAACCAAAGAAAAATACCTAAGGAGGGGAAAAACAAGCATAAAATAAGGAAGAAAAACATGACAAAAGTGGAACGAACAACTCCCCCACACTAAAACCTTTGTTCGTCCCGAACAAAAAGAAAAGAAAAGAAAAGAAAAAAAAAACAAACGAGCACGGACAACGGTTCAAGCAAGACTAATCTCAAACCAATCAATCAAGCCAAGAAGAATTCAAATGATCATAAGCACACACCTCAACTATTAGCTTGGCCATTTTGAATGACATCAACTCTCGAGTACAGAAGTGTATCATATATGCATCACTCAATTTCTTTCTCAAATATCACCGGGTACACTCAATTTGGTCAACAACCGAATCAATCATAAATTTGCCTATCGTCTAACTCCTACTATAGAACAATCAAATCCGTGAAACAATGAATCAAGAGGACTTTAAGGGTTGTAACGTAGGCTCTTTCGACCGGGTAGGATAAATATAAGCTAACTGGCTAAATAAAAATCAACTCAACTCAATCAGATAACCGTAATCATAAACTCCTCCGGTTGTTGACACCAACCGGTTCCTCCCACTACTCCAAGTCAACCTACTACCCACTTATTCAACATTTCCATTTTTTATACATTTGCTATTTTTTTTTACGAGAACCTTAGGATATTTCGTAATCCATTCGGTTTCTCCCGTTTTTTTTTTTTTTTTTTTTTGAGAGAGCCTTAGGATATTTTAACGTAATCCATTCGGTTTCTCTCTCCTTTTTTATATACCAACGCAAATCACCTCCCAATCCACACACGTAACTCCACAATATCATCGTCACGAGGTAAGAGAAAGAAAATCA